GGGGGGGGGGGGGCTAGACCCACACCCACCATTTATACAAAATTGGTTCCTGTTCACCCAAGAATGCTTCAGACCATATATGGACCAAATCCTTTCATTCCTACAGAAGAAGGATTTTAAAGAATAATTTGCTATGTTTCCTCTATTGGGCACCACCCCTCAGGCCCCCAGGGTGGCCAGACCCACCATTTATACAAAATTGAGTCCCCTTGGCCTATGGATGCTCCAGACCAAATATAGTCCAAATCCTTTTATTCCTGAATAAGAAGGATTTTAAAAAGTTTGCTATGTTTCTCCTATTGGGCCCCGCCCCTCAGGCCCCTGTGGGGCCAGACCCACTGTTTACACAAAATTGGTTCCACTTCACCCAAGGATGATTCAGACTAAATATGGAACAAATCCTTTCATTCCTACAGAAGAAGAAGGATTTTAAAGAATTTGCTATATCCCCTATTTGGCCCCGCCCCTCAGCCCCCAGGGGGCCAGACCCATCATTTATACAAAATCGAGTCCCCTTGGCCAAAGGATGCTCCAGACCAAATTTAGTCCAAATCTACTGGGCCGTTCAGGACCTTTGGGCAGGTGAGCTAAAAAATGTCATATTCAAGATATACAGTGTATGAAAAGAGAAGGTAACAATGATGTAAGGTGATGTTATAATTACCTTTATTTTCTCTTGTAACAATAGTAAACAAGAATTGATGAAGCTTAACAAAAAATCTAATATATGTATGCAACAAAAGGGAGAAAATTCCAACGTGAACTCAGAAAGAGATTACAAAGCAACACAATACGGCACACATTGTAATTGTGAACAGACATAAATCATGAGACATAACTCGTGAAACACTAGAACTGGTGTTGCTCCTACACTTTTTTCACCTGAGGATTGGTGTGTCACCCAAATATTAGAACCATTTGTGTGTGTTTTTTCTCAAATACTAGAACTGGTGACACTTCTCAAACTTTTTCTATATCACCTGAATTTTTGTGTTTTGCTCTTCGAACTTTATCAAACCCTGCAGACTAGCAGGTCACTCCAACACTCCAAGGACCTTGCATTACTATACGACACACAACATTCCATGTGACAAGACTATATGTGTACTGTTGAAAATACAAAACATGTTAATTTTTTGCCATATTTATACAATGTATATAAACATTCCTTATAATCATAAGTATATGACCACTGCTTGACCTCCTGGCAAAGCATATTAGTAAATAAATTCCTGAAAGTTTTAAATGAAACATCTGATACATGTTATATATACATTACCATTTTTTTACTTTAGCTATTTAACTTCAAACAATTGCCCTGTCACATTAATCACATAGCAAAGTCTACATACATGAACAAGAAGGACATTTTTGACCTATTATTGCATTTCTAATCTTTTTCCAGTCTTTAACAACATTGGACAATTTAAAGTCTGATTATTTTGAAAAGAAGAGTCAAAGGTAAAAAAAACAGTGAGACAAAACTTCATTATCTTATCAAGGATATATGGGAGGATCAGTGAGTGTCTCAAGTCCTGTCTAAGGTACTTGTCCTATTTCTAGCTGGCTTGATGGTGTCGGGGTTGACCAACAATCTAGTACTAAAATCTGCATGTTGTTTTACAGTTTTGTTCGGTACAGCTACCCTTCTGTTTGATGTACTTGCACACTTACTTTCTATACTGTTTATCAAAGGGCCATGTCATAATTTACAGTCCCCCCTCCCCTCCACCAACTGGTAATTCCATGCTACAACCACGCCACCATATATTGTGTAGCTGACATGGGATAGGTTTGGCCATACATTCGGTCTGCAATCTCAATTCACAATTATCCGAAGTCCACAATGTGGTTATAATTGTATACATAAGTATTGATATAAAATAAATATACAAAATTGAACAGCATTGTAATGACAATTGGACAAAATTTAAGGAGATTACAGTATATATCCTGACATAACCCGAGGGTTCCAACACATAATGTCACTCAAAGTAGCGGGGATCAGCTTATACCAGGACAATGAACAAGTATTTGTTTGCATTTCTACTGAACAACAATATATATGGGTGGGCTTATTACCAGGCATTGGCTAATTGCCAGATAAAAACAGTATCTAGACTTTGGAGTAAATATGCCCTCAATAGATGTGAAAAAAATAGGAGCGATAACAAACAGTTGTAGGAAAATTCTTATTTTTTTTCTTTTATATATAAAATTTGAGCTTTATATGCAAAATATTAGATGAAAAAAATAATTGTAGCAATTAATATTACATGTAGATCATGAATAACATTCAAGATTTATTTGAACATAAATAAAATATTCAAATAATTTGAATATTACAAATAAATTGGAATCAATTAATGTTAAAACTGCTTGGAGCCTTTATATACTCTGCAGAGACCAAAATGGCTTTAGTGTTTGTTTTGGTTTTGCATTCTTACAACAGGGAATATCATATAAAGATAGAAATAATGGGACTCCTCAAAGGAGATGTTTTTTAGTAATTTTTACACAGAAATGCCATAATAATCTGCAGGCCTAGGGCAATATTTCATAAAGAAATGCAGAAGATTTGTTTATGTATTGTACATACTCGGGTCGTGTTACTGTAAACGATAAATACAGCAAAGGGATTATATATGGTAAGATGATTTCTTAGGTACAATGCTTTACTATTTACAGTAGGCTATAAGTATGAACGTCTAATACCTGTATAACTAAGTTCTGTTTTAAATGACTAGAACTGCTTGATTGTAATCTACTGATACTGATTAGATTGAAACAAATTGGATCATTTGAAATCGTGGCAATATACCTAGGGTCGTTTGACAGCACAATAATGTGTTGCCGTTTGACACCATAAAATGGGGGCTAACACATAAATAACCTCGGACTCAATGCAGTGAGGTGGGCTTATTACAGGACAATGCAGTAGCATTTACGGGAATTTCTACTGTCTACTGAACTGCAATAGATATGGGTGGGCTGTGATTTATAAATCATCCACACAGGTGCCTGTGTCTACAATGTAGCTTATCAATCAAAGATAAAGTTACCTGTATCAACTTAATAGATTTATAAATTATAGATCAGGCACCTGTGTTTACTTCGTAGATTTATAAATCTTGGACACATACACCTGTGTATACTTCGTAGATTTATAAATCTTGGACACATACACCTGTGTATACTTCGTAGATTTATAAATCTTGGGACACATACACCTGTGTTTACTTGATGGATTTCGAAATCATTGGAACAGAGATCTGTGTCCACTTAATAGATTTATAAATCATAGATACAGGCGCCTATGTCTATTTATAAATCATAGATACAGGCGCCTATGTCTATTTATAAATCATAGATACAGGCGCCTATGTCTGTTGTAGTTTAAAAATCATATATGTCTGTGTCAACAAAATCAATTTGTAAATCATAGAAACAGGCACCTGTGTCAGATAGATTTATAAATGATGGACACCAATGTCTACCTAGTAAATATACAAAATTATAGATACAAGGACCTGTGTATAGCTATTAGATTTACAAATCATAGATACAAGGACCTGTGTCTACTTGGTAAATTTATAAATCATAGACAATGTGTCCCATGTTCCCATGAGTGACCAAAACTAATGCTCAATTATCAATTTTTCTTCTGAAGTAAATTTAATACATTGCTATGGTCATGTTGGTGTTCTATATTATTGTGTTTCTGTTAACATAACAGAACTTTGACCCCCCCTCCCCCACCAATCTTTATTAACTTCTTGGTGAGAGAAGAATTTATGACCTATTAATTTATGATTGAATACAAATTTAACAGCAGTCTTAACATTCTACACTGTGAATAAACATGTGACAGACAACATTTAGAAAACGGAC